TTATTATTATTATTATTATTATTATTATTATTATTATTATTATTATTATTATTATTATTATTATTATTATTATTATTATTATTATTATTATTATTATTATTATTATTATTATTATTATTATTATTATTATTATTATTATTATTATTATTATTATTATTATTATTATTATTATTATTATTATTATTATTATTATTATTATTATTATTATTATTATTATTATTATTATTATTATTATTATTATTATTATTATTATTATTATTATTATTATTATTATTATTATTATTATTATTATTATTATTATTATTATTATTATTGTAAATTGAATAGTAATCCCAGAATGCAAAATTATCGTAGGATTATGATAAATTGATATAATATGATATGTTGGATAAAAATATTTCTTGCATTCTTCCCTTCCAAGTTTTGTTGTGAATGTTTGATTATCTATTTAAACAATAATATTGACCAAGCCAAATAGACTTTAAATTGGTAACAATTGGACAGTTGGATTAAGAGCAGAGATGCCAGGAAATTTCCTGTTAATAACGTTGATGTGGAGTCCAAAAGAAACCCTTTTTTATTTTTGGATAGGCTTATGTATGTTAAGAAGTGAGAGGCTGTCATATTAAACACCGGAAACTGTTGAGAGCCAAATTACAAAAACATGCACATCGCAATAAGATCCAATGAGAAGCTCAGTTGTGAATTTAGTTAGATATTTTAAGCAATTGCTAACAAAGGCATTTCTAAACAAAGACATGTGCTTAGACATAAAGGAAAAACATGGGAATTGAAACGGGAAATAAATCTAAGGAATGTAAATTTAAACAAATATGTGAGATAAATGGTAAACCATGATCATGGAAAACATTCCTAATTTTATTTGTATAATTATAAAATTTATTTTAGTTTTTCGCGACAAGTTTAATCATAGGAAAAATTTTGAGAATTTCACTCAACCTAAAATTGCTGTTAGGTCAAGCACAATGCACTATAATGCATTCATCATCTGTCATCTTAGTGTTTTACTTTCTAACTGGAATTTAGCTTTCGGGAGAAGAACGAAACGATAAATTTCCGGACAAAAAATAACAAATGGCAAATTTGTGGATGAAAGCAAGATAATATCATTCAGCAGATAGTTAACCTGCGGTATATGATAGTTGACGAGGCGGTTTGCAGTGTCGGAAAACCCGTGAGAATTTATCATACATTAAATGCTTGGAACATTTCTAATGATTCATCACTGCATTATTCACCAAATCACATTCTTCAAAATTATCTCCCATACGTTTCTTTGTTATCTTTGTCTAACGGAAATACACATTTTTACCGTTTCCTTTGTATCTCAAGGAATACCCTCTAACGTTTTATGTAAACCACTCCTACTTCTTTATATATATATCCCTTTTTTGTATAAAGGTTTGGTCTGGACTAGTGCTCTTATATAGTATCCTTATAACAGCTTTTGACTCACGGGCAAGCGGTTTCTTCTCCTTATTCTTCAATAATCCTCCTGATCAACCCTGTATTATATCAATAAAGCGGTAAAATTTACTCTGCGTCCTCACAACGTATATTCGACGTATTCACAAGGTAAGCCTTTAATTAAAGTTCTGCTTGATCTTAACTCAAGGCTAAACCTTCCAAATCTAAACGACTCGATAAAGAAAAGGAATAATTTTTT